TATATATATATATATATATATATATATATATATATATATATATATATATATATATATATATATTTCCATTTTTCTTATATTTATTTCCCATTTTTCTTTTTATTATATTTATTTTCTACATGAGATATGAATGATATCTTTTAATTAATAATTGCAGTTTTTTAATGTACAAAGTATTTGTTCACTGATTATAAATAATGTTTTTTTTTAAGTAAAATGATTTGCACTTTAGGGGCTATTCAACAATTATGTCATGCAAAAATTGAATATTTTTATTTCTCCTTCCTCTCTTTCGTCATAAAGTTTAGGCCCGTTTTCAACATTATGTGACATGTCAAATTACTTTTTTCCCTCACATAAAATAAGAAAAGATAGTTTATAATCATAGAGTGAGTAATACTTATTAGATGGTACGCTATTATCTTTTTCTAAAATACAAATAATTTTTAAGCATAATATCAAATTAATTACTTTATTTTATAATTCTAACCAGTAAAAATAGTATTTTTGAAAAAATTTATGTTTCGAAAGAGTTTTTATTATTGACATAAAATTTAATTATTTTTATAAAATATAATATTTTGTAGAATGTAAAAGTTAGGTAAGCTTCATATTTGAGTCCAGTAGAGACCGAAAAACATAAAGATAGATCGATTTTATACATTTTTTTATGAGCAAATTTTGACCTCTTTTCAGCATTTTTCTTTGAAACATGCATTTAAGTTCTAATAATGTTAATTTAAAAAGAAAGATTTCCATTTTCTGTTATCCTATGCATAATCGCTTTAGAATTTTTTTTGTTTTTAGCAATGTGTAATTTGATATTAGAGACTTTCACAATGTCCATGAATATTAGATGTGGTTTTCGAATTCGAATCGCGTAGATCAGAGCTCGGAATTAGTTGCCCATTTTGGCCAATTCTCAAGAGCTACGCTTTCTATCTTTCCTTTGCCGCGAGCGGGCCACAAAAGTGACGGTCGAGCCTCCAAGCTTGAAGCCCCGACTGGCAACGACCGTCATTTTCGCAACCAATTCCGAGCTCTGGCGTAGATTCTTCTTTGTCTATTTCCGACGTTCCGCGAACATTTCAGTCCTCTTCTTCAGAAAGGAATGACCTGATGCAGAGTTGCTCCTGAAAGGTCTACCTTTATATAGTGGTTGACATAGTGGAGGGGAGAATAAGTAGGGAAGTGGGGGTTGTCACGGGGAAGAATGGGAGGAAAATTTGTTGATCAGGTTTTGAAAACCGGGAGAACGGATTGCCAGATTGGACTGATTATTTGTCCCTGTTGAGATTGTTAGGATGTTTTTGAATTTCTAAGAATTTCCTGTATTTTTTAGGGAAATAGTTGTTGGTTTCAGTACAGTTGTTTCGTTGAACAGGATTTTGTGTCCGTTTTCCAAATTGTGCTCCGCCAGCGCTGATTGCGCTGATGTCCTTAGCGTGAGTGCGTTTTGATGTTCCTTTATGCTTACCATCCTCCCAGTTTCTCCTATGTATTTTGCCGCAGGATCAGAAAACTTTATATATTCCTAGAATGTCTAGTGGAGATCTTTTGTCCTTTGGGTTGTTCAGATACTGTCCTATTTTTGTTGGTGATTTGTAAATGCTTTTGATATGGTGTTTTCTCAAGATACTGCCAATTTTGTCTGTAATTCCCTGTATATATGAAAGAAAGATGATGGTGAAGTTTCGTTCTTTTGTCTGTCCTTGGAACTGTTTTATGTCTATTCTTAGAGTCAGTGTGTTTTGATGTCTTCTGATTTGATGTTTCCTGATTGTTCTGTTTATCTGTATTGTCGTGTAACCATTATTTTGAAGAGTATTCCTTAGATTTTTAAGTTCACTTTGGATGCTGCTCTTGTCGCAGATGGTAAATACTCTGTGTATTAATTTCAGAACCTGACAGATCAACAAATTTTCTGCCATCTTTCCCCTTGACAGCCATCCCCAACTCCCTGTTTCCTCTCCTTTCTTCTATGTCAACCACTATATAAAGGTAAACCTCTCAGGAGCAACTCGGCATCGGGTCGTTCCTCCTTAATGAAACGGACTGAAATATTCGCGAAACTTCACCAATCGCGAATCAGACAAAGAAGAATCCACACGGCTCAAACCCGGAAACCAAATCTAATGTGTAATTTAATCGCGCGATTTATCATTGAAGATTACTTACTCTCTGGATATTTATAAGTGTGCGTGATATCCTCCCTCGCCCATCGTCCGATCGCTTTCGTACTAATGAGTTGGCCAATTCTACAAAATAACCGTCACACAATTACACAAGTGCAATTAGCTCGATAGACATTTACACGTACTAGCAATGATCACGCGGCCAATTAATCCATTTCCACATCAATCCATTCTTCGAGCCACATACCCATACATATCCTTGCGAACCAATTTCAACGGCTGCGTCGGACCATTGTAACGCCAATAAACTTTGTCGGCGTTCACTTCGGCAAAAAGAAACGCGTTATCGTAAGGTCGCAGGACTTCCCCCTTCTTTACAGAAGTGACGGATGCTGGTCCGCAACGAAATGCACCTTCACTCAGTTCCTGTGGTGTCGCGTCGATCGCCTGCCAGCCCGAGCAGTCAGACGACAAGTCAAGTCGCTTCATCCACACCTCATTCCACACATGGAAATTCCTTTCGCAAAAAAAAAACGAAAAAATCGATTTAATACTTTCATCTTTCTCTGTAATCTTTCATTAACTTTCATTGAAAAGCGCCAGTTGCATTGTAACGACCATAGTCCGCTTTCGAATTACCATATAGAATCGCTGTTGAGTTCTTCCATGACTTTGCCTTCGGCATCCACGAAGTAGTCGACGGTAAGGCTGCTTTGGGTATCGTGTGCGCTGGAATAGTTGGTCACCACTCGGCAGGGTATACCGAGAGCACGGCAGACCGTTGCTAACACGCCAGAGAAAACCCAACACTGGCCATATTTGACCGGTTTTTTCGTTTTGTAATACTGCTGAAGTATTTTTTGCGAGCCCATCCATCGCGTGGGTGGCGTACCGCCTCCGTAATCATCCGACCAATTTCCCATTACCGCCCCGTTGTCGTCTGGGGAGTTCACCTAAAAATCGTTGTTGCACTTGTGAGGCAATATATAACCAATTCGAAAATTCTGATTTTACCAAAATTCTGTGAGTATTCTATAATTTTTCAGAAAAGATCTTTTTCTTATTTTGTCACTTTTCTTTGTTTCTTTTTTTTAATTTAATAACTTACCGCGGCGGATAGGCAGCGCGTTATAACGACCGGGTCATTCCTACCGGAGACTCGAACTTTGCCGACTTGGTTCATCAGGTGCAAGGAGCAGTCCAAGATATCGCGTTCGAACTGTGCATATTTCCATACAGTAGGCCGCATGCGATTGTGACTACCACGCCAAATCAAACCATCTTCCGCCATCACGTATTCCTGGCATTCAGCCTCGCCTTCCAAGTAGACAACATCGTCTGGAAAAAAAGACTTCGCAAAATCCGTAACACCGAGATGTGATTCTTGAAACCACGCACGTAACAAGATCTCGGCAAACGATTAAGATAAATGCATACCTTTGCACCATGGATTGCAAATCAAATAAAACGAATTCTGCATTGTAAAACTAACAGCACCTGCGGATTCTTTGTTCTTCGTGTCAATCTCCATGTTCCACTTGCCAATGATCGCGTTTGCAGACGGCACAATCTAAAAATAGGGAAAGTTTTGTGAGCACAATAGATATTAAAAGACAGACATTGAAAGACAAAGAAGGAATGCGTTATTTCTTAAACGCTCTGGGACAATATATAATTTATCTTTATAGTGTTCACAGTATATTATAACATCACCTAGCAAATATCAAATAATAGTTATATAACTTTTATTTGGTGTTCATTGGATAATTTACTAATAGATATTGAAATAACACAACACATTCGATATGAGTTGAATATTGATGTAATGTAGTGAACCAGTGATAATTATTTTTAGATTTTTAACAGAATGTTATAATGATTAACCCAAACTAAAAAAATAAAAAATCTAAGAAAATCCAAATTAAACAAATCGAATTACTAAATTTTGAAAGAAACTTTTATAAAATATTATTTGAAACAACAGTGTTTTTTTATCAAATGACATGGTTTCCTTGAACAAAATAAAAGTTTTTATTTTTATCATTTCAAAAAATGATATTTTGTTTAAGAATATAATATTTTAATGTAACAAAAAACCACAAAATTAAACAAGTACAAATATTAAATCTAAAGAAAGTATTTTCTCCGAAAAAACAGTATAAGAAGTTAGTTATTAAGAAATATGTAATAAGACAAATTCTAGTATTAATGACTGCCACTAAGAAGTATTATTCTAAGTACTATTCTATAAGCACAATTGATGTAAAATATTACTGAATTTGAAATATAAGTAACAAAAATAACTAGTAAATAAGTAAAAGATATTATATTTTATTCGTCATATTTTTGATATTGCTAAAATAATATTGCAAATTAATGTCACTGCAATGTCTCTGCAACATTGCACTGCAATATGCAATCTTGCAACGTTGTAGCAATGTTGCTGCAAGCTTCTGTGCTGTATAGGCTATAATTTAGGACTGATTAAGGAAATTATTTGCATCATAATTGGAATACTTGAGAACTTTTTAAAATATTCATTTTGAATTACTTATAAACAACAAATGTATACTTTATAATTATTTTACATATTGATATGTATTATTCTAACAGCAACTATTCATACATATCAGAATTTGTTGATTTTACTTGAAATTTAGAATACTTGATTCCAAATGTTACGTCGCGTTTAAAAATTCTCACTAGCACTGGTGAACACATTTGGACCTGAGGCACTTTTGGATTATAAGTCTATTGCTTTGCACTGCACTACTTCTTCGATCGATATAATCGTCTTATATGTTGTTTATATGTCTATTTTGTCTATATATGTTGTAATTAACATAGTGATATAATTTTTTATAATATGATTTAAAATAAAATATAATTTGATTTTAATAAAAATTATATTTTTCGTACTTTTATTGTTAATTTAACCGTTAACTAATAAGTTGAGGTCTACAAAATCCCGCACATTTCATTATCTTACATTTCGTTATCTTTAAATTTTCATAGTTTTTTATTGTTAACTGTTATTAAATAGATAAAGTCATAAAAGACTATAAATTTTGAGTAATTATAAAAGAGTACAATTTTTTTTAAAAATCGATCTTACAATATAAAATTTAATTAAATTAATTAAATTTATGTATAAATATATAAATCAATGCTTATTATAAGCGATGGAGTACCTGTCTAATGTAACCATAAAATATAAATGAAATTAGCTAATAATAGCAATTTCTCATAAATTCTCAGAGTAACCTAAGTAATGATTCGCGAAATATTCATTATAATGAAAACTTCCGAGAAATATTTTAGAATGAATTAAACTCGGGTAATTCTTCAGGAATTCTTCAGATACTCATTTTTTTAATTCTTTAGGTGTTCTTTCAAATGAATTTCATTTTTTTAATTCTTTAGGTGTTTTTTAAAATAAATTCTCTATGAACTTCTATTCATCTCTGTGCTATCTGAGTCTTGACTGATGATGTCAACCAGAAGAGAGAGAAAAATATCGAGAGCACGGTTTTGCTAGGTCAGGACTTAAACCCGGGTCTTTCGCTTGCCAGGCGACTGCTCTAAACTACTGAGCTACCTGACGCTCCACGCTCACAACACTCTCCTCTCCCTAGATAACTCAAACCGACTGAGAAAGTACATACATTCAATATTTCTGGAAAATATGTAGAAATAAAAAGATACATTCATAAAATGACATTTGTAATCAGTCAAGCAGGTGTGTAAAATAGTTCGAAAACATTTCTTTTGTTTTGACAATTAAATAACCGTAAAATTAAAATAATATCAATTAAAATTCAAGTATTTAAAAAGATCAAGTAAAATTAATATAACAATCTTCCTTTTTAAACTTTCTCTTCTTATGATTATGTTAATTTTATGACGATTATTTACTGATTATTAATTCTTTAATATCTCCAGGATAGAGTATTAATATAAAATTTTAATTGTGATCAAACTGATAAAAATTGATGTAGATTCTTGAGATCTGGGAATAATTTTTCTTCTAGATCAATTATTTAAGTCTCTTATACACTTGTCAATGAAGTTCTAATATAATTTAAAGCTTTTGTACATTGTACATTATACATTGTACACGTGTAAATAACTGTGTAAATAACAAGACTATTTACACGTAAATGTATTTGAAGGTGTCCGATGTAATTACCTAAGCAGCAACATCACGTCATTTTCACGTCGGTAAATGGTGATTACCAATCCTAGACGTCATGTAACCAATAACTAACGTTTAAAAGACGTAACTATTTTTACGTGATAATATCGTCATTTAAAGACGTTCCGTCTACACGGAAATTTCGTCGTCTACACGAAAAAAACAATATAGTTGATTCATACAGAAATCTGGTTGTGCCAACCAGATTCAATAGTAAAATACGGAACTATTTATGTGGTTGCTTAACCAGCAATGGCTGAGTTACTTATGTTGCAGCAATGATAATACATAGTTAATACAAACGCGGCTCATTATGTGGCAACTACAAATGTATATTTATACACTCAGAACCAGTTTTCACATGTATATATCTCTAGCTGTGCGCGTAGTGAATTGCTTTTGTTTTCTAACATAGCTGCTTTGCAATATAGCATTGATTAATGCAACTATATCGATATTTAGCTTGTCTATGCAAAATGATCCCCTTACTAATTTCTGGTTGCCACAACCAGATTACGCGCAACTTCATTGATGCAGTTGACACACCAAAATAAGTAAGTCAAATCAACCATATACATAACTATCATACAAAGATATATAGAATGATGCAGCTATTTGCTTACAACTAAATATTTTTTGTTAGGTGCACCATATCTCCTTTTTCCGTGTATAATACGTTTTTAATACGTGTTTTTGAGAGATCAATTTTAGTCAGCTGTTCAAAACAAAGAATGTGTCAGTATTTATCTAATGTTGATTTATATCAACTATGGTTTATGTAAACAACAAGTTATTATTTATTTTTATTGTTATTTTTATATGCTTGCATCTCAAGCATTTGACTCTTAGGAATAAACCTTATAGAACTTGTCCTATCCTTTCTTACTTACAAGCATTATATCGTTGTAATTATCTAGTAGAATGATGTTCAAAAATGTGTTAATGAGAAAATATTGACCTAGACAGCACAGACATGAATAGAAGTTCATAGAAAATTTATTTTAAAGAATACCTAAAGAATTAGAAAAATGAATATCTGAAGAATTCCTGAAGAATTATCCGAATCTAATTCATTCTAAAGTATTCTTTGGAATTTCATTATAATGAATATTTCACGAATTATTATTTGGAATACTCTGAGAATTTGTGAGAAATTACTATTATTAACTAATTTTATTTACATTTAATAGTTACATTAGACAGATACTCCACCGCTTATAATAAGCTTTGATTTATATATTTATACATAAATTTAATTAATTTAATTAAATCTTATATGTTAAGGTAAATTTTTTTAAATTGTACTCTTATAATTACTCGAAGTTTATATTCTTTTATGACTTTATCTATTTAATTACAATTAATAATAAAAATGTTTACTATAAAAATTTAAAGATAACGAAATGTAAGATAATGAAATGTGCGGGATTTTGTAGACCTCACCTTATTAGCTAAGTGTTAAATTAACAATAAAAGTACAAAAAATATAATTTTTATTAAAATAAAATCATTTTATGAAATTATATTATCAAAAATTGTACTATATGTTAATTACAACACGTATATATAAAATGTAAGACGTTTATATCGATCGAAGAAGTGGTGTAGTCTTTAAAGCAACAGAGACTTATAATCCAAAGGTGCCTCAGAGTCTCAAAGTTTGAGTCGCACCAGTGTCAATGAGAATTTTTAAATGTGATGTAACATTGGAATTAAGTAATCTAACATTTCAACTAATATCAGCAAACGCTGTGATATTTACGAATAGTTTCTCTTAGAAAATAGAACCGAATAAGGATATTTCCACACGTCTTTTTTACGTCTCTTTATGACATCATTTTCACGTTTTATTATGACGTTAGTGGGCCGTAACTTATTCCGGTCATTTTCACGTCATTATTATTACGTGATTATAAAAGGATAATTAACGTCACGAATGATCAAAAACTGACGTGAAAATCATGTCACGTTGCTGCCTGGGTAGTTGATCAAAATAACGTTAAAAATTTTTTTAAATAAAAGAAATTAATTAAATTAATCAAAATAAATAAAAATAATAAATAAATAATAAATAAATATTAATAATAAGTAATAAAATATTATAAATTATATAAAGATGTTAATTTCAAAAAGAAAAGTATTTATTATTTAAATATTTTAAATTATATAAAGATATTATTCCTGAAAAGATAAGTGTTCATTATATATATTAAGTATTCATTAAAATTAAGTATTTATTATTAAATTTATTAAATTAAGTAAATTAAATTATTAATTAAATTAAGTAAAGATGTTATATTAAAACAAAAGATACTGAAGACATTAAATACGTCTAAACATTTTTAAAATATATAGAATGTACCGAAGATCTAATATGTAGAATTGTTAAAGTTAATTACTCTATATTTATTTCCTCTCTACGTTAGTTGGGTCTCTTCAAACGTTAGTGTGTAAATGAGACAGCTAGCGTGGCCATAAAGTGGAGTAACATAGATTACACGAATAATACAAATAATAATTATCCCTCAAATCTAATAAAGTTTTCTTAAATAATGTTAGAACCTGTGATAAAATAAAAGCAAGAAGATTTTACAAATATAACAATACGCCAAGTACATAAAGACGGATAATGTTGCATGTAAAAATGTATATCTAAAAACTCATTGGAATATATTTAATTCAATAAAAAAACTTAACAAAAAACATATAAAGATCCTATTTGTCGTGCGAATTTTGTTTTAACGTAATGTGCCCACACATGACCTGTTGGGTCTGTGGAGCTCTCTTTTGACCACACCTTTGTCGGCGAATGTGATTAATTAGAGTATGGATGTGAGGAATTTGCGCCGTGAACATAACAACACTAGCATTGACAAATTGCATAAACTTTATTTGATATTACACCACTTATTGAAGAGGAACACACAAATGGTCGAAACGTCTGTTAAATGTTTATTTTATTAAATTTTATTTAACATATAACTGTAATTTGACTCTATATGTCCGTACTAGTCATTTTATGTATAAAGATCCCTTTACAAAAACTTCATGTAAAAAGTCAGTGCAAAACTGATCCTAACAAAACATAAAAATTCATAAGAAGCATAAAAACCTAATAAAAATTCGATTAAAAAAAAACCGTGTAAAAATCCTAATAAAAACCTTTCCGTAAAATATCTAACAAAAACCCTTCATAAAAACCTAACAAAAGCTTTTATAAAAAACGAAATAAATATCTTATAAAGAAACTTATTTAAAATTAAAAAACTTGTAAAGAATAAAACTCAATCAAAAGGTAACCTAAAATCAATGAAATGAACTAAGTATATGATTCATTTTATCAAGTTACAATAGACGACAACTGATATTTCCTCATTACCTGCAGCAAATGTTATCATTATAAAAAATATATTTTAATTTCACTAACAGAAAAATACGTAAGTTCCAAATCATATCTGTTCTATTGATTCAGAGTTTACGCAAATATTAAATCTCACAAGAACGGGTTTTTAATTAAGTTCAACGAAAGTAAAATACAAAAACTTGGTATGCTTGGGTCGTATGATATTTTATAAATACATTAGTTCTAACTATAAACATTTAGAATATTATAAATCTCTTATATGAACATTTTTAAATATATTTGTTTATACTAAGAAGACAATATAGGAGAAAATTCATAATGTTTGGATCTAAATATAAGATTAATTTTGATACCTAAAAGCCTTTATATATACCTTTGGATATTAATCTTTGAATACGAAAATATAAAATATAAATTAATATTTAAAATATTTAATGCACTACTTTTATATAGCACTTTAAAATTTTCTTAATTTATTTTTTATATCTAAGAGTCTGTTATATATATTTCGTTCATATCAGTACATATTATTCATACATATTAATAATATATCAAGAAACATACGTCTCGTAAAATGTGTTTGTGTGTGTACATTATAAATTTATATTTCATAAATTTATAATGTGCTAACATAAAGATTTCATAAACTTATAATGTGTTAACATAAAAAGTTTATCTTAAAGTATCTTATGTTTCAATACGACCCTAATAAATATCTAAAATCTTTGCAACTTTTAAACACTAAAATACTTTTCATTAGAAAGTCTATAATTGAATCATCATAAATTAATAACAATAGTATTTCTAATAGTCAATATAAATAATTAATCACAAACTATAGAGATAAAGAGAACAAAAATAAGGAAAGGGGTGATGGAAGAGGAATCAAAAGAAGAAAGGAAGAAAGGGAAAGATATTGCAGAAAGTTAGAAAATTTATTGTCAAACATGAAATGATTAATTTAAAGTCGAGGAATCGACAATATTAGTTACAAATAACAAACAACAAATCATATAAATAGTCCATCTAGATGTATAACCAAAAAAAGAAAGAAAAACATGATCTATAAAAACCATTACTAGATATTAGTGGAAATAATTCTAAACCGTGGAAAGATAATAATACATGAATATGTAACGCGATCACCGAAATTTTTTCTGCACCATTATTTTCAGATTTGCAACATATGCAGAAAATTAATTTTCTACTTCAAACATATTCACTCTGCGTTCTTAATTATTGATATTAATAAATCTTATTATCCATTCCCAATTATTAAATTATTCATTAATTTCTTCTTTTTAAGAGTTATGAAAAATATTGCCTCAGCCAGAAGTCGAACCTGTATCTCCCTATTTACCAGGTCAAACGTATCAATTCAGACTATTGAGGCTTCAACAGTATTCTTTAGAACTCAAATACTTATAAATCATATTAGATAAAAAATAAACTAAATATTTCATAATTGGAGTTTTGGACATGTTTGACGTAGAAGATTGATTGTTCGCGTACATTGCAAGTCCAGAAAAATATCTAGCACGTGCGTTATCACATGTTCAAACATAATTCTCCTATGATTTAAAAATGTCGCACTAATATTCAGCTTTTATAACCTATGCTTTTCTTCTAGTTTGCTGATAACGAAGTGAAAACTCATTTAACTTACCCTGATTCTTAAAAAATTCGGTTCTATAGCGTCTATGGTGGCCTGCCAAGCAGCCTCGGAAATTTCGCCAGGATTGAGTAGAGCAGTCGCCACCAGAGTACCATGTCCATATTGTGGCTTCTCGATGCCATCCAAAGTGAAAACAATAGAAATCCCGTCGATGGCAGGATCATAATCTCGTGACAAACTGAGATGCAAATAGAACTCTTGGCCACGTCTGACGACCAATCTTGCTCTGTCAGTCTGACGTGTCATTAATTCGTATCTGAATGTCCGATGTTTATCACCATTTTCTTCGATGCAAAGATCCACGTAATCGATCGTCAAAACTGGCACGCCGAAGTCTTCCCCTACGAACGAATAATTCTTCAAAATGATAAAATATTTCTTTTTAGTGATCGCTAGTTAGGTCAGTCCGTCTCGTTTTTTGTCAAACATGACCACCCTAATATAAACTAATCTTATATAAAAAATATTTTCTCGGCCAAATATAAAACTTCAAATGGTGAATGCGGTTTGCATATCCCGCTCTTCCAGATATTTAGTATAACATCTTCTTTAAATTCTAAGAACGCGACGTGAACTCACAATAAAACCTGAACGGAAACGGTCGAACGCTTCGGTCATTGAAGATCCGATAGCGATCGTAGAATCTGTAAAACATCCTTCGACGATCCGGATGCACCGGGTGTACCGGCTGCGGATACGAGCGGAAAACCGGATACATCGACGAGGAACGTGCCGCACGTGAGCCCGCAGAATGACTGAAAAGCTCGCCGACGACTACGAGGAGCAAGGAAGAAAACCGTCTAATAGATAGGATGCTGCGTTCTAAGAGTGACTTCCAAGGACATACGCGAGCTGCAACGTTGAGCGCAACCATACATGGCGTCATCGGTGACACCCGCGTCAGTAGGAGTCACCTACTTTTCTTGTGTATACGTTCCCATAAATTAAACATTGATACATAATCGCGCATAACCAAGAGATGATGGAGGGATAAAGGGGAGATTGGACAAAGGAGGAGAATTTATCGTAGATTTGAATGACGTATCGCTTCTTTAATTCGCTCTTAATTCTCCGCTAAGTATTCATTTAAAATAAAGAAAAAAGAATTGACTTCGTTTCGTGATTTATGTAAATCAAGCGCCTACGAGATCAATACTCAGCAAGATAAACGTGGAAATTAAGCTCGTTAAAAGAGTCATTAAAACCTACTCGAGTTGTGAGAAATGCTTTGTCTGCCGAGTTTGGAGTCTGTGTTAATAGATCGATTTCTCGTATCGATAGATTTTCATCGAATCGACGCAACAGACAATGAATGACCACAAAGTATACAAATTACAGTATCCGAGATTACATGTTGTGCAAGATTCTTGCATGTGCATTTCATCATAACGATACACGTAAACGATCGAGTTCTACATTCTCGACATGTAAAGATACTTTCACATTGTGTCTTCTTACAAGTTGAAATTTTGCTTTTAAATTAACAAATGCAAATTCCGTTCAACTTACTTTGAAGTTGCTTAAAATTCGGTTATTTTGATGTTTAACCAATATTTAATCTCTACTTCATTCTAATAAGAAATGTATTATAAATTATATAACTTATACATTCAACTGTACGCAGATGGAATGAGCAAACATAAATAGTTAGTTAATATGGAAAAATAAAATAACAAATTGTTCTTTCTTATGTTTTGCTTATTATAAATTTTATTTACAAAGTGAAAAAGAAGAAAGGAAGTAAGAAAGGAAGAAAGGAAATAGTTATAAAGAATAAACGATAAAATAAAAAGTTATATGACTAATAATACAATTAATAATACAAATAATACCATGGACTTATATACATTTATTTGTTTGAAGTAAAAAATTATTCCTATATTTCACAATATTTCGAGAGTTATTGAAGCGCAAGTGTCGCGTATCCTTTGCTTCATATTTTCTTTCGTCGTCGATGGCTCAAACATAACTTTCTCCTTCACATATTCTCACAAAAAAGGTGGACACTTTGAACATTTAATAAATTGAATATATCAGAGATTAGAATGTTGCAATTTTAATTTTATAAGCTTTAGTAGACTTATGTAGCATAAGTCGAAACTTTAAACCATCATATTTTCTAATAGACATATCTGACAAAAAATATTTCGGATAAAGCTAAGTTGTTTTTGTTCAAAGAATTCAAAAATATAATTTTTCATAGGCATTTCCATTTAAAATTTTTAAATTAACCCCCGTTTCACCACGTAGAGGTTGGGGGCCTCCTGCACTCCAGTTTGAAGGATCTTCAAATCCATACTGTTACGTCCCGTAAGGCCTCACATATCTTTACATTGCGTAAAGACTGATTACCTATCCGACCGGGTTACAAATCAGTTAAGTACACAAAAGAAGTACTTAGACCTCGAGCTTTACGAAAGAATCATGAAACATATCACTTACAAGTACGCATGTCCACATATCGCCTGATCGAACATTTCCCGAATTTCTATTTTTTCCCATCAATCCGAGACTCCTTGTTACTAAGCACGACATCTCCAACGAATCCAGTAACCGCCATCTCCGAAATTTTCTATTTTCCGAAATTATAAAAGTCCGATCCGTATGACTTCTAGTCATTATCATTACTACTTCTATGAGTATCTCTACAAGAATCAGAATCAGAATCATTACTTCTATAACTACTCCTACGAGTTTCACTACAAGAATCAGAATTAGTATCACTACGAGTATCAGTACGACTAGTATTACGTCGGTCATTGTTACTTCCATCTACATCGTATTCGTGGGAATTTCTACTCACACCTGGCTTGACTACTTTAGAAAATCCGACAGGAAGGAAGCAACAATCTCAGGAGATCCAGGAAGATCCAATTTTCTTCTCGTACTAATAGTAAGTCATTGTTTTATTATCCGATTTTCCGCGTCTCAATTTCGAATAAGTTCGAACAGACATATCTTTACCTTGTCGAAATCGCAATAATTCCGGTGGACATTAATTATCGGTCAGAATTCTAAAATCGGTATGTCCCTTCCCTCGTTTTAGTGGGACGTCGATCTTGTTAGCAACGCAGTGATCTGCGCGAAGCTCTAGATACACTGGAGCTACTGTTTTCTACCTCAGATTCCTATTCATGCGTCTTTCACTGGATAACCCGTAGACTATTAGCACAATATTTAGATCTAGAAGATCTACTCCCCTTCCCTCTCCCACTTCCCTCTTCCCACTTCCCACTTCCCCACCCTCAGCCACTTCCACCAGATCCGCATCCTCTTCCATCATTTCCATCTCCATCTCTTCCTCTAACTTATTCTCCACCCCCTTCACTCTTCAATAATCCTAAACACTAACGCTCACCCTCACTCCATATACTCACACACATACACACACATTGTAGTTATAAATAAATCATATGTTATTTCTTTTATAATAAAACTTTAATTTCTTTCTTAACTCGTCTTCTCCCATTATCGCTCGAGGTCCAGTCCCGAGTAAAGAGATTCAGTTTTCTGACTCAAAATCGGACCGCTCGCTGTACGTCGTCGCGTTAGTAAAACGACCCTTCTGGTCGCTGACTCGCTCTTCGACCTATAAGTACAAGCGAGGTTTTCTTTACGTTGCGTTCTCCTGCAGGACGTAACAATACAATTCAAGACTTAAATCATTAAAATCGATAAAATAATGTTCAAGATATCAAGTTGTTAAAAGTCACATGAGCCTGTATATCTGTCCTGTCAATTGTGGATTGCAGTTATTAAAAGTTATTATTACAGTTATTAAAAATATGTTAATATAAAAGAATTACAAAATCTTTTTTCCACTTGCTCTTATGACATTGCTGAATACTCCAAAATATCATTACTATTCATGAAGTTCTTTCTGGAAAGTATTTTCATCATGGATTAAAAATATTCTTATAAACATATTAAAAATTGTAAAATCAAATCAAATAATTAAAAATATAGGACTCAATATTGATGGCTTATTAGCAAAAATTTCTAATAGTCAATTTTTTCCGTTATTAAAAGTCATCACAGATACTAATAATAAAATATAGATAAATAATGCTATTAACTCATATAACACTAGTATATTCTGAAAATGTTCGAAAGATATCACAACAGTAGATTATTTGAATTACATATTTTAAATATAGTCTGCAAAGAACGTATTGAGAATATATATTCGTATGTTACGACTATCAACTTCCTTAGTATGTTTTAAGAATGTTTCTGGTATACAGAATGCCCCAAACTCTCTTCCGCAATTTTTGTGGAAACGTAGAACGGTTTGAGGTGAACATAAAAGTTCTATATCGTTTCGTGATATTCGCAATAATAGTCGAAATATTAATTAAAGAAGATTGATGAATGATCAAATATATAACATGATAGATGAGTGTAGCGACGATATTTGCTGTAGTGTGCTTGTAGATTACGTCAAATTACGTCAATTACGAACAAAAAAGCTCTTTATTATTTTGCAAATAACCACGTAGACTTTTAGTTAATAAAAAAAAAAAATTTGTTTTAAATATTAAATGATTTTGCATGATAATGCACAAATCTTCTTTAATTAATATCTAAAAATCTATATTGTCATTCACAAAATAGTAAAGAAATTTTTTGTTCTGTTTAACCTAATGTATAAGTATATAATGGTAGATGGCGTCACCACAGCTTGGTTACCGTATCGCGCGTGAATATTCATTGATTTTCTTAATATCTTAAAATTTATTGCGAATATCATAAAACGGTATGGAACTTTTATTTTCACCTCAATCCATTCTATGTTTCTACAAAAATTGAGGAAAAAATCTAGGATATCTTGTATAATAAATATATTTAAGAGATATGTTTAGTAAAACATTTAGGGTAGACCGAGGTGAACCAAATCAATTTTTCTTTATTGGTAAGAAAGTAATAAAAAATCAATAAATCATTAAATTTTATTAAACATTCTTAATCTTTAGAACTTTAAATTTATTTAATATAATCATTTAATACATAACCATGGTATTTTTATTGCACAATAAAAAATTTAAGAGAAGAGAATTATCCGATTCGCCTCAAAATCGGAGCAAAGCGGATCACTAGTTTAAGTCTAAAAGAAACAAAAATAAATCAATAATCTTTTTGGAATAACCTACTTACATTAAATTATAATTCATTATATATTTTCAGATTTGTCAAAATTTTCATTATTACATATTATGATATTCTCGATTTTAACGAATGTTAACGAAAATATTTAAGACAAAATTTAAATTGACATTCATAATCTGTTATCTATTATCGTTTGATAAATAATTATAGTTTCGTGTGTAAATCTGCGATTACTAGTAAACCTATATATGGTACAGGTATATGTGTATGTACATGTAATAACAAACAAATTAAATATTTATTTGATACAACAAAAAATATTAATTCAAATTATTAAATAACGTTTCATAAATATAAATAATGTTTCATAAATGTAAATTTATAATTAATTATACTTTCAATTAAAGATTGTAAACATACAACTATAAATACCAAACAACTATAAATATCAGCTTTAGAATTTAATATATATCTTGTGATTTGGTCGTATAATAATGTTCGTTGTATACAAATTCTGTTTTGTGTATGAATCTGACAACTTTTGAATCTAATATTTTAACGATTCACGATTTTTCTTGTAATTCTCAACTGTGACTGGTTTTCAAACATAAAGGTCAAAAGTCTATAAGGACTGTTATTAGACTTCTCGACTTATCGTTTTAATACAAGTACTTCTCTGTATGACTCGTTTAATCCCGGCAACACGTATAAGAAGAAACCACTTTGTCACTGCCAATTTGTGATCGCCATTTCTGGTTGATACGTGATACAATTTAATTCAAGGAATCGACAGCTGGTCGTTTTCAAATCAACCGGCGAACCACTATTTTATCATTTACGGGGAGACAAGGTTTGCTCCATATTAGTCGGCATGATTTGCGACATCGTATGCTAAAAAATGCTCTTCAGGCTACCGGTCGCTTCTTGTACATGTATTATTATTGTTAGTCCTGTTTTCATCGCTTCGCGACATTGTGTCGCACAAATTCGATTTGTTACCAGCTTCAAACATATAATAATTAAAAGACGATATTTTATGAAATTTTGATAGAATTTTTATACTATTTAAGTTGAAGATAAACGGGAGAAAACAAAGTGTATTTTCATTATATCATGCTTTTTTGTTTTCTGAAAGGTAAAAACATGTTACAATCAGACACAAAAAAAGATAAACGATATACGAAGTAGGTAATATTTATGATTTTCACATGTTGTAAGTGATTCAGACGTTTTCAAAAAAATAAGAAAATAAAAAAAATTAACCTCAATGATTAATACTGACAGTGTCAAAACCTTAGCTTTAATTAAAAATAAATGACATCTAAAGATTTGTAAAATTGCAAAAATATTTAGCATTGATCAATAAGTCATTTTAAAACGACTGATGCAGCTTGGGATGATCGACAAAACCGCTATGAGTGTCGCATAATTTGTAAGAAAAGATTTTAATAAACTATATTTCTGCTTGCAATTTTCTGTTGATACGACACAAAATCGATCCACTTTTTAAGCCAATGAAAAATGGATTATAAGGATATCTGACAATAAATAGGAAAACGTTTATGTACA